AGAAAGCAAGCTGCCAGGTCTGGGATTTGAACCCTGGAGGCTATGTGGGAGTCCAGTGCCTTAACTATCATGCTACCTGATGGCCGCAAGAACCTATATATATATATATCCTCTCTCTCTCTCTCTCTCTCTCTATATATATATATATATATTTTTTTTTTTTTAATGAGAGAATTTTGCTACTGGGCATGTTTGCTCTCAGAGAGACAGAAAGTGAGAAATCACCCCTCCAGGGGGAATGACCACACTGCAATCCCTTCTCCATTCTCCTCTTGGGTTCTTGGGCGCACACACACATGCTCCCAGCATGCCGTTTAAGCCACCCAGTCTGGGAATCAAACCATGATCGACTCTATGGGAGTTCAGCAATGTAACCATTACAACATTTTCTGGTCTTCCTATAAAAATTTTAAGAAATCATTTCTAGCCTAGAATTTTATACCTAACTAAAGTGTGAAGGTGAAATAAATACATTTCAGATATGCAAAGTCTTATGAAATTTACTTACTGTAGGAGTTTAAGGTGGTTCCAAAATAGAACAGTCTTCTCCTTCTGACTTCTAAACAAATTGGGTGAGACAAAGCATATGGAGACTAGAATATCATTTTTATTCCTAATATGGTTCTCATTGAAGAACGGGGCTTATATTTTCAAGTGGTTTACTAATACCAGATACCAGAATAGGGCATTCCTAGTTCTTAGCCCAGGCTGAGGTGAACAGGTTCTGTGTGAGATTTACACCTGTAAATACTGGGATATTGAAGTATGGAATGGACTTTTCTTTCCTGTGGACAGTAGGATCTAAAGAGGAAGGACAGGGCTGGCCCCATGTAAGTGGTTGGGCACTGAGTATGGAGAGCTAGATCCCACATAATTTACTATAGTTTTAATGTGGTCCTGGTGGCCTGAGGAACATACTGGAGTCTGTTCTGTGTGTGCACCAAATCCTGATGGGACAGAGAAATGGAAGAAAAAGATTGCAGTGTGGCCATGCCCTAGTGGGTAGTGCTTTCTCTCTCTCTCTTTCTCTGGTTAGTACATGTGCCCACTGGCCAGGAACAGAAAGAGAGAATAAGAGAAGAAGGACTGTTCTGCCTACATCATTTCTCCAAATTCTCTGATGAAATGTTACGTTCTCTCTTTAAGAAAGGAATGATTGAAGGGGGTGGAAAAAGTCAGGGATGTTATGGTAACTGATATCTCTCTACATAGAATGGAATATCAGAAGTGAGACGTAATTATTTTCTTTTATATCTGTCTTTTTTTTTTCTTTAGAAAATTGTTGGAGGATGTGCTTGAAAAAAAAAAGGAGGAAATAAATCATAGAAAAGGACTAGAGTCAGCATTAAAAATGGTATTGGTAGTATGATAAAGGAAGTCTCAAGGTGACAACTGTGGTGAAAGTCTCGTAATGACCAGAAAATTCTTGATATGGACTGTCCAAGGAGAGGACTGTGAAAGAAAGAAAAGAAAAAAAAAGAAGGAAAGACAGACAAATTACTAACATATCTTAACATACTCAGAGAATATTTATAGTTCTGTTAGTGAATTATTGATAGGTATATTATTGGGTTGTTGGAAAATTCATGATGTGTTTTTCTTCTCTGTTTTTCAAAGGTCATTTATTTATAAAGAGAACAAAGATCAGTCAATGATATATTACCCGTTTTGTTTGATAACCTTTTGCCATCATTTAGTGAGCTTCATAATTTCTTGTTCATTGAAGGACCTGTCTTTATTGGCGAAAAACTGAACAAGGTGCTGATTTACAACATTATCTAAATTGGATGTTGTACCACGCAAGGCATTTGAAGAAAGCAAAACAAAGTGGAAGTCTGACGGCATGAGGTCAGGCAAGTATGGTGGGTGTGGCAACATATCCCATCTAAGCTGTAATAATTTTTGATAGGCGATCAAACTTCTGTGTGGTCTTAAATTGTTGAGATGGAACACAACTCCTTTATGAGGAGCTCTGAATGTTTCTGGATGATGGATTTGTTCAAACTGTCCAATTGCTGACAGTACAAAATTCTAATTGATTGATTGGTTACTTGGTATGAGCTTGAAAAACACAACACCTTGGGAACCAGAGCGTAATGGCTGTGTCGCGGGACTCCCACGTAGTCGACCGCGGTTCGCGTCTGGGACTCGGTGGCTTAAAACTCATGCCGGGTGCGTGTGCGTGTGTGCTCAAGATCCCGAGAAGAGAATGGAGGAGAAGGAATTGCGGCGTGACCATCCTCCCCCGGGGGTGATTTCTCGCTTTCTGTCTCTATGTCTCTCTCTCTCTCTCTGGCGAGCGCACGTGCCCTATAGCGAAAACCTCTCCAAAAAAAGGAAAAAAATTAAAAAAACACAACACCTTTAAAATCTCACCACATTGAGAACATAACCTTCCTCTGATGAATGTCTGCTTTTGATGTCATTTGAGGCAAATCATCATGTAGGGACCAAGACTGTTTCTGTATCCCATTGTGCACCAGAGTGGTTGTTCAGGGGCCACATTTGTGCACCACAGTCCATTTCTTATCACCAGTTATCAGTTGCTTCAAAAAAGGATAATTTTCTAGGACCAGCAGATGGCGTAATGGTTACCCGCTGGGCTCCCAGGTAATTGAACATGGTTTGAGTCCTGGACCTGGCAGCTTACAAAACTCACACTAGTCACATCTGTGTATGCCCAAAGCCCCAGGAGGAGAATGGAGGAGAAGGGATTGTGGTGTGGCCATCCCCTCTTGTGGGTGATTTCTCATTTTCTGTCACTTTCTGCCTCTCTCTCTGGTAAATGCACATACCCTATAGCAAAAATCTCAACACAAAAAAATTTAGATAATTTTCCCATTTAATGAGCATATTACAGATGTTTATGTGTGCTGTCAAATGAACTTTGAGTTCATAAGGAACCTAAATATTGAGCTTCTTCAGATGGTCATAAATGCTTGGGTAATGGATATTCAATGTTTCTGCAATCTCTTGTGTCATGTAATGTGGGTTTGACTTGATCAGTGCCTTTATTTTGTAATCATCAACCTCCTCCTCCCAGACTGAGGAGCAACAGTAAGATCAAAATCACCAGCATGGAATTTTGTGAACCATTTTTGGCACTGAAATTCTTGTAGAGCACTTGTCATCGTAAACGTTACCTAACTTGTCACAAGCTTGATGCACATTCTTCTCCTTATGGAAGTAGAACAGTAAAATAGGGTGAAAATGCACAATTTGATCTTCTATCTTCAACTTGTAAAATCTTCAAAACTCAACCAAATTGCTTAATTTTATTTTAGAATGAAGCTAGAATTTTCACCTGTCAAGTGACATAGCAATAACATGGATGTAAATGACTTTAGTATTTCCAAAAGTGAACTAGCACCACCTGTTGCAAAAATGTGTAATGACTTTTTTGACAACCCAATAAAAAGTTTAAGAAAAATGAGGCAATGACTAATTCTAGGTAAAATGTGATATACTAATACATTTCAGTTTACCAAAAGGGGAATGCAATTATAGTATATGTATTGTGAGGTCAGAAGGCTGTCTCTAGTAAATAACATAATGGCTTAAAAACCAGATTTCTGGGACCAGCAGATGGTGTAATGGTTGTGTCACTGGACTTCCACGTAGTTGACCATGGTTCAAGTCCTTGACCTGGCAACTTAAAACACACCAGGCATGTGTGCATGCAAAATCTCAAAAATCTTGCATGCCCAAAGTCTCAAGAGGACAACGGAGAAGGGACTGCGGTGTGGCCATCCCTCTGGGGAGGGGGGGTGATTTTTTTACTTTCTTTCTGGCGAGTGCACGTGCCCTATAGCAAAAATCTCTCTTAAAAAAAAAAAAAGAGAGACACGTTCTTTCTTTCTCATGTAATAGTTGTTAGGTAGGTTGTCACCAGATATAGATGAGTAGTTTGTTCAGGGTGGTTGTTCCAGGGCCAAATCAGGTTCCATTGATCATGTTGTCTAGCTTTTAGTATGGGCAAGAGCCAGCAGTGTGGGCATCACTTCTGCTTATTAGAAAAGCAAAATTCTGATGGGATGGAGAAATGAAGGAAAATGGATTGTGGTGTGACTATGCCTCCTGCTCATGCATGTGCTCTCACATGCCCATTGACGAATAATTATACTGATGAAGAATTAATTTGGATTCCTTTATAACCTCAGAGGTGGAGAAAGTGTACTGATATTGTTTCCCCATCTTTGGAGAGTCACATTTGAAATAGATTAGTACTAGGTAATTGGGAAAGTGTATTTTTCTGTGCAAAAATGCCTCACAACTTTCCCAGCAGCCCAATACATAGTATAGACAGGTAGGAGAGTCATGTGTGCAAGGTGTCACCATTTAGAATTTTATAAACTGATTTCTTACAGTGCATACAAATTGAAATTGTTGTGTTTTCTTTTATGTTTATTGTATTTCAGTTGCAGGTTTTATTTTTCTGATAGTTTAATTTTTTTTTTCTTTGAGAGGTTTTTGCTATAGGGTGCGTGCACTTGCCAGAAAGAGAGAGACAGAGAGACAGAAAGTGAGAAATCACCCCCCAGGGGGATGGCCACACTGCAATCCCTTTTCCTCTATTCTATTCTCGGGATCTTGGGCACACATGCACATGTGCCTGGTGTGAGTTTAAGCCACCGGGTCCAGGACTTAAACTGCGGTCGACTAACATGGGGGTCCAGTGACATAGCCATTACGCTAACTGCTGGTCCCAATAGTTTAAATTATTGAGTAATGTAAAAACTTTTTGCTTCTCAAAAAATCCTTTGTTTTGATGACATGTTATCATAATTACATTAAAATCCTCTTAATGAGCATTTGGCTGTTACTTTGTGGGCTTTAACTGGTCAAATATAGTAGTTTCCTGATTTTCTATTTCATTTTGTTTTTACTATTTCTTCAGTTTTAAGAACAAATTTTAAAGTTTTTTTTTTTTTTAACTGTCTCACCATAAAAAAATAGTTTGCATTCTAAATAACAGATTTTTTTTTTTTTAAACCCAATAGTTTGCTTGCTTGTGCTGGATTCATACTACTGAAGATCTACCATCTTACAATATCGTAATTGGAAAGAAGTAGGTTTTCATTTTCAAATAATGGAAGAGCCTAAGACCTCTAAAAGTGAAAATCATGAACCAAAGAAGAATGTTATTTGTGAAGAAAACAAAACGGTTAAAGTTATAGCTAATCAAACTTTGAAAGCTAAAAATGATAAATCCATAAAAGAAATTGGAACCAGTTCTCCAAATAGAAATGGTACTAAAAAAAATAAGCAAAATGATATTTGTGTGGAAAAAACAGAAGTTAAATCATGTAAAGCAAATACTGTGAATATTCCAGGCCCTAAAGATTTGGGGTTAGTTCTTCGAGATCAAAGTCACTGCAGAGCAAAAAAATTACCCAATTCACCAGTGAAAGTTGAAAAGGCACCTATTTCACAGGCAAAAATAGGAAAGGCACCCACTTTGCAGACAAAAGCAGAAAAATCATCAAAGTCACCTAATTCACCGGTGAAAGCAGATAAAGTACCCAGTTCACAGGCAGCAGTAGCAGAAAAAGCACTTAATTCACAGAGAAAAGTGGAAAAAGCACTCAGTTCTCAGATGAAGTCAGGAAAGGTATTTAGTTCAGCAGCAGAAACAGAAAAGGTGCCCTGTTTACTGTTGAAAGAAAACATGAGACAGACAGAATTACACCAGGTTGGAAAAAAATTTCCAAGCTCCTTTACTTCTATGGACAAAATGAATATTGAAGCTGTAGAGGGAGAAAAATCTGCTCTGGAAAGTTTACCACAATCTCAGAAGCAACAGACGTGTACAGATAATACTGGTGATTCTGATGATAGTGCTTCAGGAATTGAAGACATATCCGATGATTTGAGTAAGTACAAGTTAGGTTATTCCACAAATTGCATTTTTTGGAGAGCTTTTCCTATATTAATGTTCTTCAGATTATCCCTGGCTTAATTACTTTAATTAGAAAGGGCATTAGTAATTATACTCTTAAAGTTGAAAAATAAACTTTTTCATTTATTATGGTAGAAAAAGACTGAGAAAATATAAGTTTAGTGGGTTCCTTAGGATGTGTGTGTGTGCACATGTGCTTTTACACACACTCTTTTAAAATAGTCTTGGTAATATATTGCTTACTCATTCACCAGATAGGTAAGTATTGAGTTCCTGCTATATGCTAAGCATATGTTTAGAAAACTAAAAAACATAGCCCTAGACTTCAGGGAAACTTTGAAGTTTGATGGGGATGACACAGGTAAGTAAAAGGATTTTTGTGCCAAAACTTAAGAGTTACAAGAACATTTGATTTAATTGTGAGATTTAGACTTTGAGAAACTGGATGATATAAATCTGAGACTGAATATATGACTGAGACTCAGTATGACTGGAGCAGGGAGTTAAAGGAGATAGTGGCAAAAGATGTATCTGAAAGGGCATATAGGAATTAGTGAGTGAAAGCTTATAAGTTGTAACAGAGAATTCAGACTTTTTATTATGAGTGTTTTGAGAAGCCATTGAAGAGTTCTAAGCAAGGTAGTGCTTTGATTAGATTCTGTTCTCAAAAAATTCCTTTCAGTTGTCTGCCCAGTAGCCTAGTGGTTAAGGAAGCCAGATTCCACACCACCAACCACAGTTTGAATCCCAGCCCTGATAGCTTGGAAACAAACAAACAAGCGGTGCATTTTTATGTACATGCCCTAAACTCAACAGGATGGAAAAATGAAGAAGGGATTACAGTGGACCATCCCTTGGAGGATTGCTTTCTCTGTCTCTGTCTCTGTTTTTGTCTCTCTGGTGAGCACACATGCACTCTGGTAATTAAAAAAATTTCCATTTCATTAGAGTAGTAAATTCTTTGACACCAAGACTGGAAGCAGAGATGAGTTAAGACACTGTTATAGTTAATGAATTGGTTTATAAATATTGTCCATGTCTTTTGAATAATTCTAATCCTGATTTTGTTTAAAATAATAAACTTACTTTTTACCAGAGTTAGGGGAGGGAAGAGCACTCCTGAATGGGGCGTGGTCATACTATAATTTCATTTTTTGGTTTCTCTGTCCTGTTGGGATTTTGGATATTCTTATATACACATATGCCTGATGTATTTTTCAAGTCCTTGGGGCTAGGATTCAGACCGTGGTTGACTGTGTGAGATAGCCCATGGACTTTTTGTGTAATCTTTTCCTGGTGGTTCCATGGCTAGAAGATAAAAAGCCTTACCTTGATACAGAAAAATAAAGAAGCTTTTCCTGAATCATCATTTGCTACTTTGAGAAGTATTGGTAAAAAATTCAGAAATAGGACTGGCCCTGTAGTCTAGCAGATAAGGAATCTGGATCCACATGGCTGAGTTTGGTTCAAGGGATGACACAGGTAAGTAAAAGGATTTTTGTGCCAAAACTTAAGAGTTACAAGAACATTTGATTTAATTGTGAGATTTAGACTTTGAGAAACTGGATGATATAAATCTGAGACTGAATATATGACTGAGACTCAGTATGACTGGAGCAGGGAGTTAAAGGAGATAGTGGCAAAAGATGTATCTGAAAGGGCATATAGGAATTAGTGAGTGAAAGCTTATAAGTTGTAACAGAGAATTCAGACTTTTTATTATGAGTGTTTTGAGAAGCCATTGAAGAGTTCTAAGCAAGGTAGTGCTTTGATTAGATTCTGTTCTCAAAAAATTCCTTTCAGTTGTCTGCCCAGTAGCCTAGTGGTTAAGGAAGCCAGATTCCACACCACCAACCACAGTTTGAATCCCAGCCCTGATAGCTTGGAAACAAACAAACAAGCGGTGCATTTTTATGTACATGCCCTAAACTCAACAGGATGGAAAAATGAAGAAGGGATTACAGTGGACCATCCCTTGGAGGATTGCTTTCTCTGTCTCTGTCTCTGTTTTTGTCTCTCTGGTGAGCACACATGCACTCTGGTAATTAAAAAAATTTCCATTTCATTAGAGTAGTAAATTCTTTGACACCAAGACTGGAAGCAGAGATGAGTTAAGACACTGTTATAGTTAATGAATTGGTTTATAAATATTGTCCATGTCTTTTGAATAATTCTAATCCTGATTTTGTTTAAAATAATAAACTTACTTTTTACCAGAGTTAGGGGAGGGAAGAGCACTCCTGAATGGGGCGTGGTCATACTATAATTTCATTTTTTGGTTTCTCTGTCCTGTTGGGATTTTGGATATTCTTATATACACATATGCCTGATGTATTTTTCAAGTCCTTGGGGCTAGGATTCAGACCGTGGTTGACTGTGTGAGATAGCCCATGGACTTTTTGTGTAATCTTTTCCTGGTGGTTCCATGGCTAGAAGATAAAAAGCCTTACCTTGATACAGAAAAATAAAGAAGCTTTTCCTGAATCATCATTTGCTACTTTGAGAAGTATTGGTAAAAAATTCAGAAATAGGACTGGCCCTGTAGTCTAGCAGATAAGGAATCTGGATCCACATGGCTGAGTTTGGTTCAAATCCTGGCCCACTGACTTGAAAAACATGCCAAGGTGGGTATGCATGCGTGCCCCAAATTCTGAGAGGGTGGAGAAATAGAGAATGGATTATGGTGTGATCATGTTTCACTGGGGAGTGTGTTCTGTTCTTTACCCATCTCTGGCTCTCTTTGGTGAGTATGTACACTTCTCTGGCAGTTAAAAAAAAAAAAAAAAAAAAGAAGAGTTCAGAAATAGATTCTTTTTATATTTGGTGGTATACAGATGATAATGTATGGATGGACATACATTAAATTTTTTTTGAGTTTTTTATGTATGTAGGAAAATATTCTTATATATAGATAAAGCTTAGGACAAATAATCATTTAAAAATAATTCAGTTTAGAAAGTATCAATAATACTGGTAATGTTTAGACTGGAAAAATAGTAACATGATAGTATATGATTGATTAAAGTTTGGGAAACTGATGCTTAAGATTATTTAAGGGTCCGGTCACATAAATTAGTAAAATATCTGATTTAAAGTTTTTTTTGTTTTTGTTTTTGTTTTTAAACCAACAAGATAAATGAGATGAGGTGATCAAGAGTATGAGCTCTGGAGTGAAATTGCTAATAACTTTGTAATCTTGGATAAACTGCTTATCCCTTATAACACATCTCAGTTTCCTCATTTTAAAAAAAGTGGAAATACTGCTGCTTATGTTACGAAGGTTAAGTGAAATAATCCAGTAGAGGGTTGCATGTAGTACCTGACACAGTGAGCATGCGTGACAGTGAGTATTAATTATTATATTATTTTAATTCAGTGTAATTTTATTGTTAATATGATTGAAGTAGTTTAAGGAAGCTAGCTTAAGAAAGCTTATAGACCAAGTAAAGATCCTTTTGGGATACTTGGTTCAACAATTAATAAGGTTTATGTTAAATGGTATAGATAGCAGTCAGTTTTTGTAAATAAGTGCTTCTCTCTCTTTCTCTCTCTCTCTCTCTCTTTTTTTTTTTTTTTTTTTTTTAAGATTTTTGGCATAGGGTGTGTGTGCTTGTGGAGATAAAGAGAGAGAAAGTAAAAAATCACTCCCCGGCGGGATGGCTGCACCATAAACCCTTCCCCTTCATTCTCCTCTAGGGATTTTGGACATACATGCACATATGTCTTGTATAGTTTTTCAGCTGCCAGGTCTGGGACTCAAACCATGGTTGATCATGTGTGAATCCACATCTTAACCTCCACACTACCTGTTAGCCTCAGTGTGTCTCATGTTTCAAAAAATTCTCTTTGGTACCAGCAGATGGCATAATGGTTATATCGGTGGACTCCTACATGTCCGATCATGGTTCAAGTTCCAGACCCGGTGGTTTGAAAATCATGCTGGGAGTAGGGGGGACAGCAGGTAGCATGGTGGTTAAGGGTTCTGGGCTCCCACTTGGCTGTCCCTCTTTGGTCAAATTTAAATAAATAAAATAAATAAATAAAGTTAAGTAAAGTAGTTCTTTAAAAGAAAGAAAGAAAGAAAATCACACTGGGCACGTGCACATACATACCCAAGGTCCTGGGAGGAGAATGGAGGAGAAGGGATTGCGGATTATCCCTGGGCGATGATTTCTTGCTTTCCATCTCTCTCTGTGTCTCTGGGGAGCTCACATGCCCTATAACAAAAAAAATCTCTTTTGAAAAAAATTCTCTTTAATATATATTGGGTCATTGGAAAAATCATGACTTTTTTTTGTTTGTTTTACTGCGCAAAAATATGCCATGACTTTTCCAACAACCTAATATATTTGTCTTTAAGCCGTGTTCATACATAATTGGTTTTTTGTTTGTTTTCATTTTTTCTCTGCTAGAGGGTATATGCACTTGCTGGAGGAGGGGAGGAGAGAGAGAGAACACAAGGGAACCCTCCCCCAATGGGACATGGTCATGCCTCAATTCTTTTTCCTATTTTCCTCCTACATGTCAGGATTCGGGGAATGCATGCACTCATGCCTGGTGTGTTTTAATTTAATATATTGTAGTGGAAATTTGATTTAATCTCTATATTCTCTATTAGGCCCATTTTTAGCTTCTACCTAGCACTTCCACCATTTTTCCTTTTGTCGTTCATTGATCCAAAACAAAAAAATACACACACACACATTTTTATTTATATATATGTATATATTATATTTTAAATTATATATGATATAATATATTTATATTTATATATATAATGTATTTTTATTTTATTTATATTTATATTTAAAGTGTCTGCTATGTGCCAGCTGCTGATCTGAGTCACTAGGAATATAACTGGATTAAGCAGATACCTCTGGCCTTCTGGAGTTAATATTCTAATGGCAGGAGATGGACAACAAAGACAACAAATAAACAGTAAATAATAAATAGTTACAAATCCTATGAGAAAAA